GGCTTTCGAGTACCACCCCTATTTTTGCGTGAGTTCGTCGTACAAAATGGGCGAATCTCATAGTTCAAGGCTTGTCCTTGTGACCTAGAATCATACAGCATGAATTCATCATCAAGCAAATGCAATCATTATGACTATGTATGACATTTATTACGTATCACAATCATCATTTGAGCATACATGCTATATTATGTCATATCATGATAATTATATGTCTACTTGCTATTCAACTTGGAATTGTTGTATTAGCGTATTCCTCAGCTGACGCTGAGCGTGTAGTTTGTTTTACTTGCTACACGCAGGTAACAATACTGATCATGGAGCCCATCCCGGAGGTCAATGAGAGTGACGAGATGTACGGACTGGTGGACCACATTTATGATGTTTTAATTAAATAAATACCTTTTCGGGCGAGAACCCAGAAAAATGTAAAACAATTTGATTATGTTTTATACTTAAGCTTCCGCATTGTTTCAGCAATACTCTGAATTTAATATTTGAAATTATCACTTATATTAAAGTTTAAATTGGTTTTAAATTATTCCTCAAATTGTTATGCGTATTTACCATCATGGTAAGTACTTCGGCTCAAATAATCTGTGTAATTGGGTTATTCGAGTTGGGGTGTTACAGTTGCACATTTGTCTAACAATGGAAACATCGATGCAGATAAGCTTTGAATGAAGCACAAAGAGTGGAATTGTTACCTGCAACCAAAATGTCATCAACATAGACTAGAACAACCAAAATATCCGGGCCACAATGATGAATAAAAAGAGTATGATCCGCATGAGCCTGGCAGAAGCCATAGCTCCCGAGAGCACAAGTAAGTTTCCCAAACCAGTTGCGGGGTGATTGACGCAATCCATATAAAGACTTGCACAGACGACAGACTTTTCCCGGATAAAGATGTGCATAACCAGGTGGCAAACACATATAAACCTCCTCAATTAAATCACCATGGAGAAAAGCGGTGTTGACATCAAGCTGATGCACTTGCCACCCTCGTGTCGCGGCAACAGAGAGTAAAACCCAAACCGAGCCCATTTTTGCTACTGGAGCAAAAGTATCCGTGTAATCAACCCCCAAAGTCTGATGATTGCCAAGAACAACCAGACGAGCTTTGTCTCGTTCTTTAGTGCCATCAGAGTTAAATTTGGTCTTAAAGACCCATTGACACCCCAAAGCTGTCCGATCAGGTGGTAAAGTAGTGATAACAAACAAAGTTGGCAATAGGATAATGTGTACCTGAAGACGAGGATCGGGGAGGCGACGAACACATCGGAGCGTGAGATTGAACAGAATTGCCGATATAATCACTAAGGTGGGAGGGCTGACGAAGCTGCCGTTGCGGACGAAGAGAAGGGACGACGGTTGTATCGGAAGGGCGTGGGTTGGCGGTGGGCTGTGCGCCCCCTGGGATCGGCTGATTGGGCTGCTCAACGGGAACAGACACCGGCACTAGACCGACGGGAGTAACCAGGGAGGACGCGGGCTGGGGCATTTCGGGGAAATCGACGTATGAGATGGGGGTAGAGGGTTCGGCCGACGTGCGATGGGTGACAAACGGGAAACTGCTCTCGTCAAAAGCAATATCCCGAGTGTGAAAGAAACGATGGTTATCAAGATCATACACACGCCAGCCTTTGGTGCCGGAAGGATACCCAACAAACATAAACTTGGTGCTGCGAGGATGAAACTTGTTTGTGGTTTTAATACGAACAAAGAATAATGTAACACCCCAACCCGCGTAACCCGAACTGACGAGTTAGCGTATCGGGTCGTTACTAATTTGGTATTCACATGCACAATTTTCTAAAAACATTTAAAATAAAACATTCGATCATATTTATTTAAGAACAAATCATGGTTTAATCGGAGTAAATAATTCAAACGTTGCGGAAGCCTTAAAAAAACAACATTCAACATTCTAGTAATTTAGGTAAACAAATTCAACAACTATACTAAATTTAAATAAAACAGCTTCGGTCATCCACCAGCGTCATGCTTCACTGTCCTCCAGGCTGCTCCTCATCCAATCCTTGATCCCTACCTGTAAAAATAGGGAGAGTGGAAGTATCTAACGCTAAAACTAACTCATAGACTAGCACTCATTAATATATAATCAAACAATATCAGATGAACCAGCAAATATCATTATCCAACTGTACCACTATTTATCCTTATATTTCAGTTTCGTTTTTATGCATCCCTACTCCATCTGCCTGGTAGATATAATCCAATTCATACTTACGGGAGTAATAGAATCCAGGCTCTCGCCCAAACCCACACTCATAACTCCAAAGCTCTCGCAATGGAGGGGGTTGAGGCCCCCGCTGGCTCTCGCCAGGGGTCAATGACCACCGTGCGCACGTTTTTAACCCTCGAGACCATCGGATGAACGACGTCACCCGCATGACCTTAATTTCTAATCTCAATCCTATTTGTGATTTTCAATATGCAATTCAACTCAGATTCACCTCGTACTATTAGATTTCTAAAAGTTTCAATCCAACATATACTAATCACCAACTTATCATTTACAAATTTGGATTAATTTATGATCATTACATGCTTTTAACGCTAAAGTATAAAGTTGGGTCAAATTGCAAACAACCTATAGATTTCAGGGCTGAATTGTGAAATTCTAAAACTAAAATCCAAATTCCTACTTGGTGCTACAGCGATACATCAATTCGTGGTCCGTACTTCACTCTCCGACTCTTCGTCCCTTGGCTGGAATTTCGCAACAGTGCAGCAACTATAGAAGCAGCGGCGGAAATCACCGCCAACACAAGTAGGCGGCGACGGTTTTCCAGTGACAAGACTTCAGAGCACCGATCCTCAACGGTAGCAAGCGGCAGCAGCAACAAGTCGCGGAACATAGACACGGGGAAGAAAGTCGAAGAACAGAAGGAAAACGAAGGGCATAGCGACAAATCCCATATCCACACTCAATTTGAATCACAATCATACTCACGAATCCAGCATCAATTGAATGAAGATATATCAACGAATCCTAATCTATGAATTAACCTTAACGAAAGATAAATCACTCACCTCGATTGTTCGGCGACGAATCACAAATCAATGGGCGAAGAACTCTGGTGACGAACTCAGACGAAGCTCCGGCGAACTCCATGTCTGGTTTGGTTCGGCAGAAGGGTAGAAGAAGAAGAGGGCTCGTGATGCAGAATTGAATTGAGATTGGAACATATACTCCGTATTTAAAGAGGATGGACTTGGCCAAATTGGTTTAGGACTTGGAGTAACAAGTTAACACAATTAATAATATTACATTATTATATTATAAAAATCCTTTTATTTACTTTTTAAACTCTAACTTTTATTCTACTCACCACGATTTACACAAAAGTCTAATTTTAACAAACTATATATCGTGGGTCACCATTTTACGAGATCTACCCAAAGACCTAATTTTTAATTAAAATGGTCAATTTTACAAATAATTCATATTTTAGAGTCAATAAATAGTATATTTATTTTTATTAAATTAACGACTAACTACTAAGCCGGTTTTCAGGGCGTTACACATAAATACCCAAAAATTCTGAGATGACTAAGATCAGAGGGTTTATGGTTGAGGACTTCAAAAGGTGACCTGCCAGCAAGTAGTTTGTTGGGGGTACGATTAATTAAATACACAGCAGTACGTACACATTCCTCCCAAAATTCAATAGGTAACTTGGCTTGAAACATAAGTGATCGGGCAACATTTAAAATATGTCTATGTTTACGTTCCACCCGACCATTTTGTTGAGGAGTACCAACACAAGAGGTTTGAACAATGACACCCAAAGTTGTGTAATAAGAACGAAGGTCCTGATTGACAAATTCTGTGCCATTATCAGACAGGACAATTTTAATTGTTTTGTGGAATTGGGTCTGAATCATGGCAAAAAAATGTTTCAAACAGCTAGACACTTCAGATTTATCAATAGTCAAGTAAGCCCAAACAATACGAGAGTGATCATCCACTGTGGTAAGAAAATAGTGTGCACCAGTAGCTAAACACGGGCTATAAGGTCCCCATAAATCACAATGAATCAAATCAAAAACACTTGTAGCTTTATTGAAACTGAGAGGAAAAGAACTACGAACTTGTTTAGATTGAAAACAGATTTCACATGTTTGTAACAGCTTAAGTTTAGAGCTACTGGCAGAAGGAATAAGAGAAGACAAAACTTGAGTGGACGGATGTCCCAAACGTTTGTGAAGAAGGGAAGGATCCACTTGGGTAGCTAACGCAGTGGAGGACAAACGAAACAGAAAAACTCTGTTGTGTGCATCACCCCGTCCAATCTCCATCTTCGTGACACAATCCTGTATGACACAATAGTTTTTTTTAAAAATAACAAGACAGGAATCATCACGTATAAGGCATCCAACAGAAAAAAGATTGCACTGCAAATTAAGAACCAGTAAAACATCCCGAAGCACCACCTTGGGCGATAGGCGCACATGGCCACGCCGTATGGCAGTGGTGTGCGTGCGGTTGGGTAGTGTGATGATACACGGGCTCATAGAAACTACATCGGTTAAAAAAGCAATATTACCAGTCATATGATGAGAGGCACCACTATCGATAAGCCACTCACGGGAAGAGGTGTCTCCGCTACTTCCGGCATCCTTCTCAGAGGAAGAAGTATCAAGCATGGAAAGTAGACGTGTCATCTGATCAGGTGTGAGCCCCAAAGCGTTGGAGTTTGTAGCCGCATGTGCTCCCCCTGTCGCGGCTCCACTCCCACGGCCAGGCACACGCGTAGGAGCGCCACCACCGCCTCGCGTCATATGGCCACCACCACGACCCCCGTGACCAGACGGAATGCCGCGGCCACGGCCTTTCCTAGGGGGGGGGGTACCCGTGGAGTTGGTAGCAACGATCCACCGAGTGACCATCTTTGCCACAATGAGTGCATGAGTAGTGGGGTGGGTCGCCACGATTCACGGCCGGAGGAGGACGTTGCATGGCAAAAGCGACCGCGTCCGTGCAGTCATCCCGGCTCCGAACAATGCTTTTATGGCATTCCTCTTGGACAACCAATGCATAGGCGCGATGGAGATCTGGAACAGGTTCGGTGGCAATAATCTCAGAATGGATGTGACCAAACTATTCGTCGTCGACGCCAAGCAAAAAATGGTGGGTTTTCTCTTGTTCTTCACGTGCGTGGATTAAGGCCGCCCCCTCACAACGGCAACCGCGTGTTGGGTCCACAGACCCGTATAACTTGTTCCACAAGGTCACAAATTGGTTGTAGTAGCCAACCACGGTTTGACCCTTTTAACGCAGAGATTGAAACTCGGATTTTAATTGATAGACTCGAGGACCATTAGATCCCCCATATCGGGTTTTCAGATCCAACCACAATTCATGAGCCACTTTGTGAGAGATAATAGACGGTTAAATATGCTTGTCAACACTATTACAAAATCGACGAACAAATAATAGAATTATTAGCTTTCCAAGCGGCAAGTTCCTGTTCATCGGTGGGTTTGGGAAATCCTGTAGGAAATAAAAAACTAGCACGATTGCGTCCCTCAAGGGCGTTGACGATTGTTTTCTTCCAAACGTCATAATTGTCTCCCTTGAGAAGGTACTTTGTCAACGAGTTCCCGGCACTCTCGGACGGATGGATGTAGTAGGGAGAGGTGGGATCGTGAATAAGCCGTACCTTTTTGGGAGTTTCGGCTGTCATGGCGGCGGAAGAGAAGCAGCAACCGACGTGAGCCGGTGTGAAAGGATCGCCGACGTGAGGCGGCGAGGGTTTGGCCGACGTGAGCTGGCGGCAGAAATGACCGTCGTGAGGCGGTCGGTGAAATTACGGTGGCGGCACCGTGAAAGAGGCGAGCCTAGGGTTTGAACTATTCCCTGGGAATTGGCTCCGATACCATGTAGAATTTGTGAAAAACTAAACTGCCTTCCATTGAGTTTACACTGGAGGCCCTTGGCCACACTGTTAGTGTTCTCTTTCATGCAGGAGACAACTTGAAAGCCAATTTGAACTTCAAAAGCTTCCAATAGCTAGCGTGTAGTTGGTGCCATTTTTCATCCCAAAATTAATACCCTCTTGCTATTTCAAGGATACGATACTTGGGATTCTACTCCATTTTACTAAAACATCGAAAAAGAGGTTGAATTGGATCGCCTCCCAAAATTTCATTTTATGTGAAAAAAATATTCTCTTCATGATCATCTGACGGGGTATTTGGAAATTTTTCCTTCAAATGAGTTATTACGAAACAATATACCAATATGGAAGATCATGAAGAGAATAATTTAGAATAGTGGATTATATTGAGAAATCTACCTTGTTATAAAGGATCATATTTAGGAAAATTCACTAATATGATAATTCAAATATTAGTTGGTCCAAGATTTTGGTAATCAAAAATGAGTTAGGGTAACGAATCTTACCACAAATTAAGTAAATTAGGAATAATAGAAGTATAAGGAAATAGAAATTATTATTTTTTTACTTTCTTATTATATTGTTTTCATAATTACTTATTATACTCTGTTTAGAATCTCTTTATATTTCCTATATATAGGGATAAAAACTTCATTCTTCAATAAGACTAATTATTATCAAATTATATCATGGTATTTGAGCTAAGGTTTCTCTTCACAAAAATTAAGTATTCCGTGTTTTACAATCGTGCGCCATCGCCGGTGTTCATCGACGCTCGAACACCACAGATCATGGCTTCGCCGTCCCTTATCCCTCTCTTTCTCTCCAAAAAATTAATGAGCGTGTCTAAAGTCCACTATCCATTATCTCTCTCTCTAAAAATCGTGTGCATGATCGAAGAATTGAAAAACTCTATTTGCATGTTTTTCTTCGAGAATGAAGAGAATGGAAATGATAGAGAAGTAGAAAACAACCCATAAGGAGAAAAAAGAAACTCTTTGTCCTCACACTAATTGCCAACAGTGTCTTAGAAAAAACTTAGCAAATGTACCTTCAAGCTTGCTTGAGCATGAAGATCTGTTTCTCCATTTCCAATGGCTACCGTCACAAAACCATTTCCACCGGCTCTATTCCAATACCTGTGCTCCAAGCTACTCCTCGTTACCACTAGGTTGCACGGATTCGGCTCTTCACTGCCGCCTCGCGCACCGGAATCATCGCCGGCGGGGACGGTAATTGGCATACCCGAAACGGATCTACAGGTTTGGATTCGTCAGGTAGGAATTGGGTACGAATCCGGACGAATCGGGTAGAAATTGGGTACGAATCCGAAATTGGTAATTTTTTAAAAAAATATTTGACCAATTAGGATTAGGTTTGGAAAGTAATTTAATTAAGCCTATATGATTGAGAGACCTGGATCCGCCGCTTCTTCCAAACGAACCGATTCAGAGCAGAGACTTCTACCGCCAATTGCATCTACCGCCGACGGGGGGAGGGATCCAGAGCTTTAATTCCGGTTAATTCCTTTTCTTTTTCTGGCGACAAGGTAAGTTAATTCCTCTTCTTTTCTACCCAACTTTAATTTCCCTTTTTTTACGGAACCGGAGAGACCAGAGCAGTAGAGCACCACTTTGATGCTCTTTTTTTGACGGATCTGAGCAGATACCAAAGCAGTAGAACTTTAATTCTCCTTTCTTTTTTTAGATTATTTTATTAATCTAGTTTGGACCCTTGTTTACTGTATTACTGTTACTTTTTTGGACCATAGTTTATTCCTTTTCTAATTACTGTTTTTAGATTATTTTTAGATACGGTATAAATCAAGTTTGTACCATTGTTTATTACCGTATCAATTTAGTTTTTTAATTAGTTGTCATTGTTTATTAAATTAATTGTGTTCTATGATTATTATCACATTCTTGTTTTTATTATTTAAATTTTTGTCATTGTTGTTTAAATTTTTCTTCTATTTTGTTACAGTGTTACCTAAATATGGGTTCTCAACAAGTGAGTGAAATTAGTTCCACGGTTAATTCAAATGAGTCCAATGAGAATGCATTGCCATTGTGGAAGTATGTCACTAAATTAGAGAAAAAGGGAACAACAGGAGGAACTTGGCAATTCAAATGCACCTTTTGCAATGAAACACGAGTAGGGAGTTACTCTAGAGTGAAGGCTCACTTGCTTCACGAAAAAAATCAAGGGATTGCAATATGTAAGAAAGTCAATCTCAATGAGAGGATTAAAATGAAAAATGAGGAAGATGAGTACGAGAAGATGAAGAAAAATTTGCAACCTAAAGATGTTCCTTTGCCTTGTGGTTTTGTAATTGATGTGGATGTTTCTTATAAGAAACGAAAACAAGATGTGCAGTCTAATCCTATAATGAAATGTTATGATGTGGATGCTAGAACGCAACTTGACCAAGAAATTGGGAGAATGTACTTTACAGGAGGTTTGTCGTTTAATCTGGCCAGAAATCCTCATTATTTGCGGTCTTATGCTTTTGCTGCATCTCATAATTTGCCCGGTTATGTTCCTCCTGGTTATAATAAGTTGCGTACTACTTTGCTTCAACAAGAAAAAGCTAATGTCGAGAGGCTATTACAACCTTTAAAGGGAACTTGGCCTGAAAAGGGACTGACAATATGTACTGATGGATAGAGTGATCCCAAAAGAAAGCCATTGATTAATTTCATGGCAACTTCTGGAAATGGTCCGATGTTTCTTAAAGCCGTGAATTGTTTTGGTGAAGTAAAAGACAAAGCTTTCATTGCACAACTTATGAAAGAAGTCATTGATGAAGTGGGGCATCAAAATGTGGTTCAAATTGTAACAGACAATGCGGGTAATTGCAAAGGGGCAGGAGTGATTATTGAAAGCATGTACCCTCATATTTATTGGACTCCGTGTGTTGTCCACACACTTAATCTTGCTTTGAAGAATATTTGCGCGGCTGTGAATGTAGATGACAATGATACTACATATGAGCAGTGTAGTTGGATTACTGAAGTTCATTATGATGTTGTTCATATAAAAATTTTTATCATGAACCACAGCATGAAACTTTCCATCTTTTCTCGATTTAGCCCTCTTCAATTACTTTCAGTTGCTGATACTCGTTTTGCATCAATCATTGTGATGTTGAAGAGGTTTAAGCTAATTAGACGAGGCCTTCAATCAATGGTCATAAGTGATGAATGGATTTCATACAAAGAGGATAGCTCAGGGCGTGCAGCTTTTGTGAAAGAAAAGGTTTTAAGTGATGAATGGTGGGATAAAGTGGAATACATTATTCAGTTCACAAATCCGATTTATGAGATGATAAGAGCATGTGATACTGATAAACCATGTCTTCATTTAGTTTATGAGATGTGGGACTCTATGATTGAGAGGGTTAAGCTTGCAATTTATAAAAAAGAAGATCGTCCTCTTACAAATTTTAGTCCATTCTATGATGTGGTTTATGATATTTTGGTCGCTCGTTGGACAAAGAGTACTACTCCACTTCATTGTCTAGCTCACTCATTACATCCAAGGTATTCTTTAAGTTTATTATTATTTTACTACGCTTTATTTTTTATTGACATGTATTATCTTTTAATATCATCTTACAACTTGAAGGTTTTATTGCGATGGATGGTTGAATGAAGATTCCAATAGAGTAGCTCCTCATCGAGATCCTGAAATTTCAATAGAGAGGAGGAAGTGCTTTCGTAGGTTATTTCCGAATGACGAGGAGCATACTAAAGTTATTGAAGAATATGGACAATTTTCACTGAAGAGTGGGCCTTTTGATGATTTAACATCTCTTTCAATGAGATACACCTCGGATCCTAGAAACTGGTGGGCTAACTTCGGTGCTGAAACTCCTCGTCTACAATCTTTAGCATTCAAAATGCTTGGGCAACCATCATCTTCATCTTGTTGTGAACGAAATTGGAGTACATACTCTTTTATTCATTCGTTGAAGAGAAATAGGTTAAATCCAAGTCGTGCTGAAGATTTGGTTTTTGTTCATAACAATCTACGTCTTTTATCTAGAAGTTATGGTCAATATGAAGAAGAAAGGACGAAGATGTGGGATGTGGGTAGGGCTGGACACGGTACCGGTTCGGTACCGTCACCGGAAACGGTACCGCCGGTACCGAGCACCGTAACGCACACCGGCACGGTGAAACGGTTCCGAGAACCGGCACCGGTACCGCCACAACCGGTCACGGTTCCGGTGCCCGAAATTCGTTACCGGCACCGCCGGTACCGGTACCGGTTAATTTTTTTTTTCGTTTTTTGCTCCTTTCTGCTCTCCATCTCCATCATCCCGTACAGGCTCCATCCGCTGCAATTTAATTCTCTTCAGCCGAAATTCTTCTGCTCTGCTCTCCATCTCCATCTCCGGCCAGGTGCCTTTTTCATCTCCTTCTCCATCTCCTTTTTCAGCCTTCTCCATCTCCTTTTTGCTCCTTTTTTCACAAAATTCAATAAAAAAGCAAAAAAAAATAAATTGGGGGTGGCCGGTCCGGTACCGGAACCGCCGGTCCGGGTACCGGAACCGCCGGTCCGGGTACCGGAACCGCCGGTCCGGGTACCGGAACCGCCGGTCCGGGTACCGGAACCGGTACCGGCCGGTCCGGTCACGGTACCGGTACCAAGGGGTGGCGGTACCGGAACCGGCGGTTCCGGAACCGGAACCGTCCTGGAACCGTACCGTGTCCACCCCTAGATGTGGGTGGTGACAGATTTGACTCTTTTGATGATACCGGATTTTTAGAGTTTGCAGAACTCTCCCTTGATGAACCAGAGTTGGAAAATGCGTTGATCTCAGAGGATGTTGACAAGTAGTGATGTTTTTATTTGAGGATTTCAAAAACTATGTTTATTTGTTATTTATTTATTTTTCCAAACATGATAATTTTGATGTTATAAGTATTCCATTATTCTTTTTATGCTAACTAAGTTCGTCATTGGATTGTTTTATGTTAATTAAGTAGAATATTATTTTTAACATTTACATGCCTATATTTAATATTTTAATTATCTTTTGTTGCCGAATCCTTGCCGTCCCCGCATCCTTAAATTTTTAAAAATGCCGATTCCCGAATCTGTCCCCGTCCCCGTATATGTACCCGCACCCGTCCCAGTGCAACCTAGGTTACCAATGATCAGTTTGCGCGGGGAGGGAGGATAGGAATAACAGAATTATTCGGAAATAGAATATTATTGTTATTATTATTATTATTTACTTTCCTATTATATTATTTCCATAGATACTTATTCCGCTATAATTAGAATTGTCTATATATTCCATACATATATGGATGAATCTTTCTTTATTTAATAAGACCAATTATTTTAAAATGGTACTAATGTACGTACAAAAGGTTATTTTGTTAGTCTCTATATACATATAGTAGTGCAACACAATATTATTATAGAGTTCCTCATGATATTTATGAAATATTAGGGATTTTTTCCTAATAAAATTAATTTTTTGGTGTTCAGAAGATCAAATCATCAACTCCCTATCTAGCAACCTGACATTAGAAGCTTTAAACAAATATGCTTGTGTGGACTACGTAAAGGCAATCTTTAGGGGTGGATTGGAAAAACCTAAAATCGAATTGAAATCGATTGAATTTTGCCAAAAAAATTGAAACAAAAAATGAAAAACTAAATACCAAAATTGAATTAAACCATTTTGATTTGGTTTAAGTTTTTATTTTGGGATTTGAGAACTGAACCAAACCGTTTTAAACTCAAGTATACCAAGAATTTTTTAATTTTTTTACCATGCATTTCTTTTCTGTGTCTTTTATCCATATATTCCGCATTATTTACTCTTTATTTGGTCACACATTTTGTTTCTTTAGAAATTGAAAATGAGTTAAAAGGAATAACTAAATTACCTAAAGAATTTCAAGATAATGAAAGAAAAACTTGAATGTTTTGTTATTGCATTTCAAAAGTTGATTTGTTTAAATATTTGATTCGAAGATAAACTTTGCTTTGTTATTGTACTTACAACTTTTAAAAGATGACTTATTTTTTAAAAGTTACTTTATGTTGAATTTATAAGTTTTAGTTGCTCGATTTAATAGTTACTTTGTTGTTGCATCATTAAAAAAGTTGTAACGTCGAGCCAATTTGTTTATACAAAAAATTGATGAACTTTCTTAAAAGAAGATTACTTTGTTATTGCATCATCGACTGAGCGTTGTAAACAAAATTTTAATGCTTATAATTTTTTATTGAGTAAATTTCATAAAAGGTCCCTAGTTATAGTCCGTTTTACATATTTAGTCTCTACATATCAAATATCAATAATTTAGGGATTGTGCTATGTGTACCCCAAGGTTTGTACCCCAATTTGTACCCCGCAGTTTTGCACCAATACTTTGTGTTGGTGTAAAACTAATTTTTGTTAAACGCACCAACATTTGTGTCCGTGTGAATTTTTATTAACGCACCAACACTTGTGTCGGTGTAAACCATCGAAATGTTTGTGCAAACCTGTGGTGTACAAATGGGATATATTTTTTGGTGTAAGTGTAGCATGGTCCATAATTTAGTCCCCAATTATTATACTATTTTTCACATATGGTCCTTTGTTAACATTTCCGTTAAAAATATGGATAAAATTGTAAATTCACGCTCCTCTCTCTCCTCAATTAATCTTCCTCCCTCCTCTCGCACTCCTTTCCCGAAACCGTCACTGAGTTTGAAGCTCTAAACCCAAAACCGAAACGATCACTCCTCTTTCAATTGTTCATATTCCTGGTGGAATCCAAAATCGAAACCAATAACCTTCGTGGATTAGTTTTATGGGTTAGTCTCAGGAAATTGCAAAAAAAACAAACCTTAAAACGGAAATGTTAACAAAAGACTATTTGTAGAAAACAATAAACTAATTAGCAACTAAGGACCATTTGTAGAAAACAATATACTCTCTCCGTCCCAAAAAGTCTTTCATGTTTCATTTTTTGCGCATTCCATAAAACACTTCTATCGACATCTAAAATGCCTAAAATTTACAACATTTCTTTTTTTTTGTAGGTAGAAGTTATTTTGAAAGTTTTTTTTGGTATTCAAGGCGGGATAGAAGCGTTTTATAGGATGCGCAAAAAATGAAACATGAAAGACTTTTTGGGATGGAGGGAGTAATAATTAGCAACTAAATTATTGATATCTGATATGTAAGGACTATATATGTAAAACGAACCATAACAGGGGACCTTTTATGTAATTTACTCTTTTTTATTTGTAAAAATTGAAAAAATTGAAAAAAACTAAAATAAAAATCACACAAAATCGAACTGAATAACCAATGATATTCATATTTTTGGTGTAAAGTTGAACCGAAACGCCTACTTGCCTTCTTTTTTCCCTTTAGTTTGGATGAAAACCAAACTGTTAAAACCGAACCCAACCCCAGCAATGTTCAGTCACGCTACTCTAGAATCATGGTTTTCATTTGGATCATAGTGATAATTATATCTGAAATCACAAAATTTTTTGTTTAAAATAAATTCTATAATTAGTTGTTTAAAATTAGGGGTTTTTCATATTTAGCCTTCTCATTTTCAAATATTAGGTTTGTGGTTCTTCGTTTATCGGTACTTTTCCATGTATAGTCCTCTGTTTGACCTTTTGTTATGTTGATGTTAAATTGAGAGCTAAAAGTACAATTTCACGTGGACCCTACATCGCAACCATAGTTGACAATAATCATCGCAGGTCAAAATCCAAGTTCGCAACCATATTCATTGTAGTTGTGTTATCTGTCAACCCGAAACCAAGGGTCAATGTGAAAATACTCTTTCAGACTTCAATTCAGCACAAACACAACGAAATGTCAAACAAAGGACTATCTGTGGAAATGTACTCATATGCGAAAGACCACGAGCATATATAATATTTGATAATAAAGGACTAAATATGAAAAATCTTTTGTTTTAAAGGATCAATTATGAAAAAATTTGTTTTTGTTTTGATCTATTGCACTATTTTTTCTTTTGGAAACAATGTTTTCAATTAGCATTGTCATTTTGGATATATCTTTTAATGGTCTAGATTAATTATAAAAACATTAAAACTAAATAATACTATTAGATAGGATTTTCAAAACCTTGAAAATATTTTTAAATGAAGTCGAATTTAATAAATAATTTTAATCAAATAGCGTAACTCACAGCCAGATGAGAAGGGTTAATAATTATTGGTATACATTGAATTGGTAGTAGGTTTTTGGTTCATCCTCTTCTCTTGCTAAAACTCAAGGGGTAGGAAAAGAAAAAAAAAGAGGAATATGGAAGAAAACTAAAAATCAGAAAACGTACGGGCTAAAATATAGCACGCCGGCGACCCGACCCGCTAAAGTTACGCTCCGTACATCCACGATCTCCGGCCGGCGCTATCTTCGCCCGTATCATCAATACTCGAACATATGTGCGTATGCTTGGCCGTGTGTGTGTGAAAATATTTGTCAATTTTGTTTCTACGTACTTGAACTTCTGTAGCAGACCTCTTCTTAGCTATTTCGTCGAGATCTTTCTATATATGCGCATCATCCTCTATAATATCTAAATATACAGACATTGTTACGAATTTTTTCGTAGTACACTGTAATTGAAGCTGCACGGATAGTTAATGTAACAGTTTGTCTTTGCAATTTCAGGGAAATGAGGTTAATCTAGGGTTTTATATAGCAGAGTTAACATTCTATTCTTTCCAATATTCAGGGAATGGTGGTGTGAGATGTTTTGAATTTGTTGATCTCAGTGGGTTTAATGAACACTTTTAAATTTGTCCTGATTTCTTATAGGACAGATTTATGTGGTTCCTTTGCATTAATCTCAACCACGCAATTTCACCTTTCTTACTAACCCTATTAGGTCAAATTGTATTTTCATGTTTGGTTCAATACTTGATTTTGCAACTCAAATTTGAGAGGTGTGGTGTAAGAGTCTAATTGGTTTTGTAGTTTAATACCAGAGGTATATCATGGAGAAGGTTGTAGCAGAGCTTGGTCGTTAAACTAATGGCTGGATTGAAGCGAAGAGCAGAGCAGGGGATTGTCAAAGGATGTTCAGCTGTAGAACCAGGGAGATCTCTATTTGGGAAATATTCTGATGTAGACATGCTTTTTCAGCTCAAAAGAATTGCTCTGAATCCATGTGATCCAGAAGTTAGCTTCAAAAAATGTGGATCGTTATTGAACCAAACACTAAGAGTTCGGGAAGCCTTGACAATTAGCCAGACTAAGAGTTCGCGGGTAAGTTCAACTTGCTAAAATCTTTACAACAATGATGCGGTTATCTCATTGGATCTCTAGAACCAAATATTAGATTCTCTTAATTCCTTGCTTTTGCTAATGATCAACTAGCAGCTTATGAGAAAGTGGTTTGATGATAATATTTGGAGGTACTCCATCTGTGTCATTAAGTAGTCTTTAATAAACTACTTTCCATGTTCTCTTTTTTGTGCCAAAAAGTAGGTCATTTCTTTTTTGTAAGAAATAAACTACTTCCGTCCCAGACTATTTTTTAGTTTGATGTCTTCGAGTCAAATTGGGTAAACTTTGATCATCTAATAAATAAACATTATATTGAATATTATTACAAAAATGATTTCATTAGATTTATCTTGTGGAATATTATAAGAAATTTATTTCATTGTATTAATATGCAATGCAAATTTAATGTACTTCGTGATTAAAGTTTATATAGGTTGAATTGAAAAGGTCAAACTAGACAAATACTTTGGGACAGAGGGAGTAAAAAATAAAAAAACATTCAAAATAGAACGGAATAAATGTTTGGAAAACCAAAAGATACATATACTATATTTTTTATATGTTTATGCAATTAAAAATATTATATCAAAATTTGTTGAATATATATTGGAAAAATATTTGTAGTTGAATTATTGTGGAGATGTTGAATTGGATATGTTGAATTTGGAAAGAGTGATGAAATAACATGTAGATTCCATGAAAAGAAAAAAACGATACTTATCTTTTGTATTGTAGATTTGTAGAAGTTTTTGATGTGGTTTTTAAATATGTAAATTTTATTAATGAATTCCACACTAATTTTCAAATACATTGAAAATAAATTTTAGTCAACCATCATAATCTGTAATGTTTAATTAAATTGGGTGTTGGGTCGGAGCCCGGAGGGAGTGGTTGATTGTGAAATAATCGTTGTGGATGCTCTAATATGACTATTTTTCCCAAACTCTGTGCTTTATGTGCCTTGGATGCTCAATATGTTGCAAATATGTTGCATGTGTTACTCAAGTTGGCAGTCTCTTGGAAACAACCTTTTTTTTTTCTAGTAGGGGTAAGGTCTGCGTACACACACCCTCCCCAGACCCTACCTTTGTGGGATCAAACTGGATTGTTGTTGTTGTTGTACTCCAGGGTATTAATGTTTTAAAAATATTCTAGCATTTGTAGATGATGAAAACTATTGGTAGAAAATAATGAATTATTACTTGAGAAGTATGAGTTAGACAATGCAACTTGTGATGCTCGTCATGGTGGGCCCATTTATGTTTTAAACATAGGGGTCGTACATTCGACCCACCTTACCCTGCAATCGGCAAGAGCCTTTGGCACTGGGGTAATGTTGTCGTCGTCGTTGTTGTTGCTGTATTGCTTTCTTAGTTTTCAAGGGTCACGGGTAGTTCAGAATTTTTCCTAAAGTACACTTGAAAAGGTTAATGAGAGCGAAGGGCTAAAACTTTTTACATAGTCAAGTCTTATAAACAACGTATAAAATAGGAGAAAGGGAAAATATCTTAGCTTCTTAGATTGATGACATAAGAAAAGACATAGGAAAGCGCGTATGTTAAATTGTTTTGATAAACTTTGGAATAAGATGACTTCTGAAAATAAAAGCGTAGTGCAACAAGAAGTGTTACTTCTAAAGCGGTGTAGACTTGCGTTCTTTATTTTTGTGTTTCTTGTGAATGCCATGCCTTCTTGAATATTGCGAGATGTTTTCAAACTTACTTTCCAAATTCATTATTCTTTATTTGCTAGTGGTGGTCACATACCCTCTTAAGTTGTCAGTGTTGGTCGTATTCACGGATGGAATCGCTTCACATTCACGCTCTCACACATTTACATATTTTCCAAACTTTGTTTTCCAAATACGCTATGTGTCCATTGCACATGGAGCTAAAATGTCATTTTGGCTGCATTTTAGCTTCGGGTAAATAATGGAATAAATCAAAACGATACAATACAATTCTCACTTTCTATGAAGTTCTAGGTAGTAAATGCAACAAAACATCTTGGAGAGCGCGACTTGAGTGTCGCCTAGCCACTAAAGGAAACTTAGTCGTCCGGGCGTTCAAATTGATGCCTAGGCGACCCCTAGTCTCCATGGTTATCAGGGCGACAAATCGAGTCGGTGAAGAGGAGACTAGTGGACTAGTTGACTAGTCGGCCTACTAGTCCTAGACTAGTCAACAAATCACAATTAATATTGAAATTTTTAACATTATATTTATTGTCATTCACCATAGGTAATATATGTGTGTGTGTGTGTGTGTGTATGATGAAATATCATTACCAAAACAAGATTATGTTTAAAGAAGGTAGCACATAAAGTCACATAACGAAGGGTACTTTAGATACAAATACCCTTCAATCTTCAAGAACAACACACCAACAAAGATAACAAGCACAAAAGGAACATATTAAAATATTTAATTTCATGTTTTGAGTTATAAAATATCACCATTCATTATCCAATGTTATGCCATCATGGAGGATGACAGAGAGCCATCTGGATTCTGGAGGATGAAGAAAATCGATCGTAGTGACGTAGATGGGCTTTGGTGATGAGAGAGACGTTAGGAAGGTAAGCGACTCTTGTGATGTTTTAATCGAATGAGCAAAACCTTTTATGTTTTAAAATTTGATGAAAATCGGGTCGGGTCGAGTCAAATTGGGTAAAGTTTCAATCATCGACTAGTAGTTGCTTAGGCGTTGCTTTGGACGACCAGACGACTAGCCTACTTTAGTCGCTAGGCGACACTCAAATCGCCCTCTACAAAACGACCAGGCGACTAGTTGCTGACTAGGCAACGACTTAACAACTATGCTAGTCGCGGACTAGTCGATGTTTGAAACCCTACCCAACCCAAATTTCATTGACGTTTAAAAAGTAAAAGGCATCGCTCATTTGCTCTAGCACATTGCGACTCGACTCTGAGAGTCGCTTTTCCGCGAAGGTAGCACATAACTATATATTTATATTTGGTGAATGAATATCTAAATAATGCTCAAAATTTCATTACTAATTGTGATTTGTCGACAAGTCTACGACTCGTAGGCCGACAAGTCCACTAGTCTCCTCTTCACCGTCTCGACTCGACTTGTCGCCCTGATAACCATGGATTGTACTTGGTTTGTGGTTGTTGTAATGGGAGCTGAGAATTTTTTAAACTCCAAAACACTTAACTATGTGGGAGTGTGCGGTTAAAAATTACTTGGTGCATGTGCATCAGGTGTATAGTAAATGAGACGTGGACGGTGGTCAGACATGACCAATTCTGACCTTTGATAGTTGCAACTACAGTATGTGCTTCAATTGCAAATGCCCATGTTTTTAGGAATGCCTCTACAAGGATTCCATAATTCTATTAGAGTCTGTGTAGGAGCTATGCATGAGTGTTGTAGTTTGTTTATGTGTGTTTTTTAACCTCACACAACGGGTCACTATTTGTGTGGCATCGTGGAAATAGTCTTTCTACGCTTTTGGGTAGAGATAAGGTTTGTGTACATCTTGCCTCCAGCTTTTACTCTTGAGTGGGATATTTTGGTGGTTGCATTTGGAAATGAATGGCTCTCTAGAGACACACACCCACGACTCTAATGTTTTTGGGACCAATTTTAGAGAGGGCCATGTACTATTAAATAAAGAGTACTATGTAGTACTTCATATATTGGTACGAGCTCAAACTAAAAATATGGTTTTTCTATTCAAAATACTAGTGAGTTTAATTGATGAGCTTTGAGATAGACATTACAAACTTATTGGGACAGGTAGAAAAAGATGTGCCTTTATAAACTTTAGTCTTTTGAATATGCTAATCATAGTACTATGTAATTACTCTAAATCTTGATTAACAGTTTTTATTACAATGCTACAAGGACTTGTTTAAAACGTATTTTAGGTTACTCATGTTACACGAAAATAAAATGACTTGACATCTTGTATCCCTATGTGCTGAGAATAATATAGTGGAGCATTATTGCTTTGGTGCGGCCATTGATGTTTATCATTATAAAGTGGCATAAAAATTCTTGCATAATTATTTTATATTTGCAAAATTGTTTGACATATTCTTATATACTTTAAAGTTATAACTATTACGAATACTTTTATTCTCATTTAAATTTTAACATTAAATTTTTAATCAACATGTGTGCACAGAGGTGAGCCCCAAAAGCGGATAAAAAAATGTGCACCAATTTTCACATTTTAGTCAAGTCATTCGAGATCTGAACCCAACTCTTTTTTGTCCTTGATGTTACTCTTTTGAAACCAACCAATCCCCACATGCTCCTAAACAACAACAAAATCGAGTATAAACTCAACNGTGGTCTAATGCATGCAACCTTATCGTATGAAAAAAACAGAGATGGTTCTGTAAGTCTTTTGATGCATTGTTGTATTTACTACATAAAACTTCATAGGGTGTTAGGGCATGTTCTCTTTATCTGATCTGATTGGTTTTGATGTGAATTTGTTAAAGTCTGATCTGAATTGCTCTGATTCTACTTAAAGTTAAAGCTATTTCTGGTCTAAGAAGAATAAATAATAAGTAGTTAGAATAAGTTGAAGACAACAGACTCTAAGAAGCAAAAGAAGTTGAATTTTCCGTTTGTAATTAATCCCTTATTTACACGAAGTAAAGAGTTTGTCAATAATGACTCATTTAACTCCATTGACAATGGATGCAACATATATCTCCAAATTATGTTTTAAATGCTCCCTTATTCTTAACTAACCCATACTACCATCCTCAAATGTTGACAGAGGAAAAGAAAGTTCCAACTCTTGGTCAAAGAGAAGTTGAGAAACACTCCCAATCTTCCATTGGAGGTATTTGAAAAGGAAACTGAAGGAAAAAAGAAGAGAAAGCAGTTGTCTCATATGTCTACTGCTTCATGCTTTCATGACTCTGTCAAATCCAAAAGTTTCGACAAAAATGCTATCTTGACTTCACATAGCGCAAAAAGCTTGGTATCGTTTGAGGACACCCTCCAAGAGCGAGTATTTCCAGAAACGTTACTGAATGCTGTAGATATGGGGCCTCCTGCCCACTATATTTCTCCTGTAGTTGACTCTGATGAATCTGTAAATGGTGTAGACCACTTGAGCTCAGTGGACCAAACCTTAAATCATATTGAAGCACCCTTACAAGACACGAATGAAGTGATTCACAATTCGAAGTCATTGGCTATGAAAGGAACAAGGAGCAGACATCTTCAACCACCACTTAGGTCCATTAGGTTAATGGGCTTGACTGGTGAGGACTCGCAGAAGATGGTTGTTCCAGTAGGGCCTCGCTTTCAAGCTGAAGTCCCCGAGTGGACTGAACCACTTGGCCATGGAAAAGCTGATAGTGCTGATGGTGTTTCTGATGATTCCAGATGGCTGGGTACCAAAGTCTGGCCTATTGTAACTGATAATGCAAGCCAAGCTACAAGTGCAGTTGGCGAAGGCAGAGCAGAGGCTTGCACTTGCCAAGTTCCAGGCTCAGTTGATTGTGTTAGATGCCATGTTATCGAGCAAAGATTCCTTCTGCAATGCGATCTTGGCCCTGCATTTTCTGCCTGGAAATTTGACGAAATGGGGGAAGAGATGGTGAAGTCATGGACAGTCAAAGAACAAAAGACTTATGAGCCGTTGGTGAATATGGAACTACACTCAAATGGAAAGAAGTTTCTTAAGCATGCCTTGAAGTCCAACCGTTCCGAATATAGGAAAACTGCCATACAGTATTACTTCAATGTCTTCCTCCCAAGACGTATTAGTATGCAAACAAGGTCGTCATCTGTTGAGTTAGTTGACACTGATGATGACACAGACGATTCTAGTTGCTTGCATTTGCCTAATAACAGATGTAAATGCAAAAGTGTTAATCCCGAGAGGTCCTATGGTGCAAAAAAAACTCGATACTTGCGTGTCATGACATGATGTTTAGGACTTAAAAATCAGAAAACTATGTGTTTAAAAGCTTTCAGAAGTTTTTCTTTGTTATTAGCGTGTACTCCATACTTCATTTCTTCTTAGGCATTTAGTGCAAGTCACCCTCCTGCCAAGTAGGGATTTTTTAATGGTTTCATTTCAGTCAGATTATGAATGAACTGGCTACAACAGTTTAAAACCGGTCTCAAGTTGGGATGAAGAAAACGAAGATTATATATAGTTAGTAGTTGATTCAGCCCTAATCCCTTGACCCCTAGTCGATACTGTTGACAATGTTGTAAGATGCACTAGGCACCATCTTGGCAATAGGGGCCTTGCCTTCTTCATACTTTCATACAACTCAGGTTCATTTAAATATTTCAAGTAATCTAATTAACTTAGAGCTATCTCAATGGTGGGAAAGTTTTGTCCGATTACAATGGACGGGGAAGATGAACGGCCTAGGAAGAAATAAAAAATGAAATAAATCCAAATTTATAGATTATTCAGATTAATTACAATAACTAAAATAAAATAAAAAATAGCATCAAAACTTCAAAAGCCTTGCTTGACAATACTGACTTTATGTACTGGACTGAAGCCGCAATTGGGACATGGACTGTATGCACAAAATTTGTAAAGCTAAACACCGTAGAAGGACAATGGAGTCACCGGAGCTGTCCTTAAGGCAATAATGTCCACCTACCGTATTGGATAACGTGGAAACCTTCCTCACAAGATAAATTCGCTATCGTTGGTGGTGGTTGTACGGACCAGCCTCACAGCTACAAACAAAAATGCCGTTAGATCGTTGCAGACCGAAAATTTTGAAGGGAATTGCCAGAAAATTTGGCTGGAAAAATCAAGATCTCTCTAGTAAATTTCACAATCATAAACACTAGTAATTAGTGATGCATTAGTAGGGTGATTAATGATAGTCATTAACACGCACCTTACATTACACTCCGTTTTAAATTTGACCTAGATGATTAGAGATAAATGACTAGTTAACTTCGTAAAAATGGACTAACATTAAATATTACGCAAAATAACAATAATAGAATAATTTTGATTCAATTCGTGATTTGTATTCGAATTCAATTATTCGTACTCGAAAAAATGAATACGAATATAAATATTTATTAGAATTTGAAAGAAACGAACATGAATACAAATGTATATGTATTCAATTCGATATGTTAATGAACATATTCAAATTTAAATATAGAAATTTATATCTAATATATGCTTCTTTGCCTTCTTGATATATATAAGATAATATTGCTGATGTCTTTGTCATTTATCAAAACTTGAAAATAACAACACAAAAAATATCTAAAGGGGTTTGAATTCATGTCCAACAATTTCCTCTCTTTTAATAACGACAAACCATAGTTGAGAGAAGCAAAGGAAATCAATAAATACATCCCTTTTGAGTTAATTCCCCCTACACAAAAGAAAGTAAGAACTATCGGAGATAAAAGCGAAAAACAATTCTCAACTATCCTTCCTCCTTTTGACATTATCAAAAGAGAGCTTCCTCCTCAAACCATGAAAGGTTTAGGAAAAGAGAAAAAATCCTACAAAAAATGCAATAGTTTTGCTTAAAAAAGGCGAACTAATGCTAACTATGCCGAAGGAACAATTTGTTCTTCAAGAACAAAATTTCCAAACCATACAAATACAAGGCATGGACAAGTTAAAGTAACAATCATAATTTTCTCTCTCACTTTTCTTTTATAGTTATTATTAATTATTATATTACCATGTAATAATAAGAATAATAAACGTAATAATAATAATGATAGAAAAGGTAACATGTGAAATTTTAATAATAACATGTAATAATATGGTACAGTGTAATAATAATAATAATAATAAACGTAATAATTATTATTGGCACCGGGTATACTAAAAAAGGTAACATATGAAATTTTAATTATTAGTTATTAATAAGATAATTTTACACCTTATAATTTTTGGCACCGTGTAATAAAAAAGGTAGCATATGAAACTTTAATTATTAATTATTAATTATTAATAAAGTAATTTCATACCTTATAATTTTTGGTGCCATGTATAATCAATCAATATCAATACTTTATTTAAAAGTAGGGGAATAGTTGACCAAAAATGGGCGGGAAACTTTTATGGAAATGTTATGTGCATTTAATGCATTACTTATAGAAATAATTATACATTCAATGTATTATGCGGGAAAATTTTATAGAAATGTTGTGCGCATTTAATGCATTACGTTATTTATGGAAATCATTATTCATTTAAAAATTTTAATTATGGAAATAATTATTATTATTATAAAGGAACCAAAATATAATGATAATGACAATATTATTATGAAAATATAAATAATAATAACAATAATAGTAGTAATCCTTTACTATAATATTTGAGACTCACTTCATGAGAGTTCGACAAGTGGACAAAACACTTGGCCATTTTTTGACACGTCAACATGCCATGTCATTTTTAGAGAATGTGCTAATAATTACATTTTGCTAATGCATTTTTATTAGTTATAATTACTCATTTTATAACTTTAATAAAACAATTATGCGTTTTCTATTTTATGCATTAATTACCTTATTAAAAGTTCACGTTTTTTCCATAACTAAAGCTAATTTGGGGTGGTAATCCTTTATATCTTTATCTTTATCCTTTATATATTATATTTGAGAGTTTAACTCCTAGAATTTTGACATTTGTCATGCTGACGGGAATTTTTTTGACACTTCATAAGCCATGTCATCATATTGGACTTACTCAATATTTCAAACGAGTTGGATAATGATTCATTACTTTGGGCTTCTTTTATTTGGGCTACTCTGTGTGAAATTCATCCGCAAGTCTGAATGAAAGCGAGACATCAGCGGCACTTTCCTTCGATTGCACCTCCCTGCGATATTCATCTTCGAATGGCTCCACCGCGAGATTTCAGAGAATATGTGATTGGAATTAATCTCTTTCCTTCTTCACGGTCCTTCTTCACGGAGATTCCAACGATCGGTACCAATTAAGAATGGGTAATTTTCCCTTTTCTTAAAAATTCATAATTGTTTTTGGAATGATTGGCCTTCTTTCCTTCTTATGATGATTAGTCTCTGCGAAATTTGTTCTTCTTTCGAATTTTCCGGTTCAAATCTCTGGATTTTCTACCCTTATTGCTAGGGGTGTGCAGAAACCGGTCTGAACCGGAAATTAGACATGAACCGGACAGGAATGGACCGGTCCGGACCGGTCCGGAGTAATCAGGTCCGGTCTCCGGTCTTAAGAAATTATAGATTTCGGGTTCCGGTCCGGTCCGATCTAAAACCCGGAAATAACCGGTCTGGACAAGAATTTTTAAATACATTATTTTTTTTATTTTTTTTATACCTATCCTATTATTCCTATCCACTAATCCAACTATCCAAGCCCAACATTCATTATCCAATCCAATTAATCAAACCTAAGACCAGAGTCTAGAGCCGCAGCATCTTGTTCTCCGAATCTCATCACTTCGTCTCCTCCCAGACTCCTTCGCCGCATCTTGCATTCTCGCCAATGGAGACCAGAGACTAGAGCAGCATCTCGCAATAAAACTATAGCCGTCACTCCCGTCAGCCTTCTCGCCTTCTCGTCAGCCGCATCTCCTTCTCGTCAGTTGCATCTCGTTCTCGCCAGCGCCTTCTCGCCGGAGCTGCCAACTTGTGACGGAAATGGAAAAACAGGGAGAAGAGGTATAACCGTATAAATTCAATTTCTACTACTATTTCCTAGCAATGGTTATTCCTAGCAATCCTAGCATGACTTTATACTTAAAATTTCAATTTTAGTTCTAATTTCAGATTTGTATATATTAGTCTCTTAGTTTTTAGAACTAAAAAATGTAAGAACAAATAAAAGTTTTATGAATTAAGGAGTATGTTTTTAATTTTCTACTATTTTGTACTTTGAAGTTTAAACTTTGATTTGAGACTTTCTTTTTAATGGATTGTGAACTTAAGACATAATTTACCTTGTGAATTTGTCAATTATCTCTCTATTGTGATTGGTATGAATTTGTGGAGATATTAAATCATGGTTTTATCAATTTTGTGTATATTTACATAACAAATTTAAGTTTTTGTGATTTTTTAATATAACAAATCCGGTCCATATTAGGGTAAACCCGGACCGGACCTGAATATTCAGGTCCGGACCGGTCTGGACTGGTAACCAACAGGTCCGGTCTCCGGTCTTAACAAAATCTTGATTCCGGTTCCGGTCCGGTCCTGTTTTGGACCGGTGCACACCCCTACTTATTGCTGTAAGTTTCCTTCTTGCGATTTATATTAGGTCATATATAAATCAAATTTTAAGTAAGCCATTTTATCAATCTATTTTTTCATTGTAAGCCACGTTCATACCTAAAAATCTGATTAATTGACATGTCTTCCAAACTGATCCACCCTTTGTTGAAGATCAATCCATCAAGTGAATGCTGGAGAGTTTTGGTTCGTGTGATTCGACAGTACAAGATGCCAGTGTATAATGATCAGAAGATGACGAATTCGATTGAGATGATATTCATGGACGAACATGTAAGAATTGTACTCTTATTTGTACTTTGCATACAATATAAAATTTATGTTTAATAGGATTTCTTATAATTTTTTAGTGGCTAGAAGGTTATTTTGCTTTTACTTTCAAAACACAATTATACTAATCTGTATAAAAAACCAAAATTCTTCAATTGCCCATATTGAATAAATAAATGAAGAATGATAAGTCTGCTGTTCTTAAAGTATAATGAGTCTGCTTTCCTTAAAGCTTCTATTTTCAGCACCATAAAAAATAATTTTTTTTATTAAAGTACTAAAGAGTTGAGTCTGTCCTTATTTTCAGATTTATAGTCTGCTATTTTTGAACATATTTTATGGTGTGAAGTTTAGTTTTTAGTCTCTTGAAGTTTCTCCAGATTCAAAATATTGAAAAAACAAAACACATTATAGTATGTTCTGATTCTAAGTATTAAAAAACAAAACATACTATAGTCTGTTTAGTTTTTTTAGTGCCTATTCATGTTGAAGTTTCTCCAGTGCCTAAAACCATGAGACTAAATTTTTTTTAATAGTGCCTAAGAAGGAATTCTTATAATTTATGTAATAATAACTCTGCCGTTCTTAAAGTGTAATAAGTCTGTTGTCCTTGAATCTTCTATTTTCAGCACCATAAAAAACATAATTTTTTATTAAAGTATTGACGACTTGAGTCTGTCCTTATTTTTCAGACCTTAATTTCAGATTTATAGCCTCCTGTTTTTGAACATATTTTATGGTGTGGAGTTTAATTGTTATAGTCTCTTGAAGTTTCTCCAGTCCTTAAGTATTGAAAAAACAAATCACACTATAGTCTGTTTACTTTTTATAACTAATACCTGAAATGATAAGAAATATAAATACAAATAATCACCCAAATCAATATCAACACACAATAAGAATTCAAGAGTCATTGATGTGTAGATTGACTGTCTGCTCTGTGATTTTAAGGCCAACAAATCTCCTATGGATCTCGACCTTTTTGTTCTCCACTTCTCCTCATCATCTCCTCAAGTTGTTTTTTTATATCCTCTTTCTTATGTTTATATAAATAATTTTTTTTATTAAAGTATTGAAGCTTTTCCATAAATAAACGTTGAAGCTTCTTTTTTCATGTCAATGAATAAATGATTTATTGATAAAGTTATTGAACACTTCAACCTGTCCTTATTTTCAGATTATTTTTTATAGTCCTTGAAGATTCTGCCTAAGACTTCAAGCTTATAAAATCCCCATAACTATTCATGTTTCCTTGATATTTTGTAGGAAACTACTATCCATGCCACTGTAAGAAAAACTCCGGTGGGAACTTTTGAGAAGAAAATAAAGGAAGGATCAGTATATGTATTTGCTTACTTCGGCGTCAGCAATAGCAGTGGATATTATCGCACTTCACGATATGACTTTCGCCTAAATTTCCAAGCAAAGACGACAGTCACTGAAACCAAGACTACCTCTAAAGTTTCAGAGAAGACAATTTCCAATAGTCTTATGTTTTGCTATGACTATTCAAAAAGTCATGGTCAAACATTGTCATTTGTTGGATTATTTTTAATCAAGTCAGTGTTCACTCATGGTCAGCTTTATGTTGCTGTTTCGCGAGTGAAGACAAAGACAGGATTAAAAATATTAGTCTTAGATGACAATGGAAATCCTTGCAGTCATACAAAAATGTTGTATACCCTGAAATCTTTCAAAAAATTTGGTATTAAAGCAAACTTTGTTGTGTGTAGATTTAATTCCTCAAATATTATTCTTTTTACTTTGTCTTTCTTTTCTGTGTTATTATAAATCATGCATGAAGTATATTTCCTTTAATCCGGAAAAAAATTTTGCATTGAATAAATTTAGAATTAGCAAGATATTCATAACCCGTGCATTGCACGGGTAGGAATACTAGTAGTAATAATATAATAAAACTAATACAATAGAGACAACATTTCCATGTATATGCTTTTAATATTATTTACGGAAATGATAGTATAGTATATATATGAAAAAAATATTTTATTATAGTATTGAAAAAACAATATTTTCATATATATATACATTTACTATTATCTATACTCCTATACAAAAGCAAAAGATTTTGGAAATTAAAAAAAAACCGTGTGAAAAAAATGTTTTCCCGCCCATGATTGGGCAAAATTTGGGCCATACATCTCCAATGACTGATAAATATAGGGCTAATATTGTTCCTTGGGTCTAACGAGTTCATTTATTGCACATTTAATTGCAATAATGTATGGTATTATTGAATTTATTGAATGGCAACTTTTGGTCTTCTAAAGAATTTTCATCCGTGTTTAGAGCATCTCTAACCATAGCATTTTAGCTTGCTAAAAGTTATAATATAGCTAGCTAAACACTTTTGTTCTTCTCCAAAGGGTGTGCTTTATTTTAGCAAGTTTGCCAAAAAATGACCTTGACTTGCTAAATATGACAAGTCCCTCAAACTTTAGCAAGTCAATACTTAAAAAATAAACTAGCAAATTATAGTTGGAGAATGAAACGAGAAAGTGTTAGCTATATCATTATTCACTTGCTATAATGTAAGAATAGCAAATCCATATAACAAGCATGGTTGGAGATGCTCTTATACTACGTGAATAGGACCATCCGTATGTGTAGGGGATTTCATTTATAGGTCAGGATCGGAAAAATCAACCGAACCGGACCGATCGGTCCAGATCGAACCCAAACTGAAAGAATTTCGAGTCGGTCTTCGGTCCGAAGTATTTCCGGTCCGGTCTTTACCCAAATCCCAACCGGTCCAGACCGAAAAAGACTGATAACGTCCTTAATCTAATTTTATTTCTTCCATTCAAAATACACCAGCCAAAAGCCCAACCTTATCCGACTATCCCTAAATCCCTAATTCTCACCTTAACCGCATCGCGCTTTTTCGAGAGCCTGAGACTGAGAGGGATTCTCCGAGAGCCTAGGCCGTCTCGCAGACTCCCAGCCATTGCCAAGATCGGTGTCTCGCCTTCACCGTCTCGCAGAGTCCCAACAATCGCCATCTGCGGAGTCTCGCCTTCGCCGTCTCGCAGAGCTGACTCCAGAACCGAAAGGAATCAGGTACTGGTACTCATCTCGTCTCCCTCATCTCCTTCTCCCTCAGTCTAATCGGTCTATTCCGGTTCGGTCTAAGAGGTTTCGGTCCGGACCGTTCCAAGACCGATTGAGAATCGGTCCGGTCTTCTGTCCTATATTTTTTCGATTTTGGTCTTCGGTCCGTTTTGGTCCGGTCCGATCCTGGACCGATGAACACCCCTACGTATGTGTATTGCATCCCAAGAATTTCTCACATCACAAGTTCATTTAATTGCAATAATGCAATGGTTTTATTAAATTTATTGAATGAGAACCTTTGGTCTTCTAAAGAAATTGTCATCTGTTAACATAAAGCCATGTTATTTTAAATTAACTTCTTTAGTTAATGAAGAATGCAAGTTGTATACAAAAAGAATTGCATTTTTTATAAAAAATATCAATTAATTAACTAACAATTTTTTGAAATTGTTTTTTTTGTCTACAATAAAAACCAAAATAAATGAATAAATACGATTTTTATATCATTTAGTGTTAGCTGTAAATATTTCAAATTAAAGGTTGTTATATCATTTAGTTTTTTATGTGGGTTGCAAAGAAAGATTTTAAAAAAATATCCTCATATATATATATATATATATATATATATATATATATATATATATATATATATACATACATACATACATACATACATACATACATACATACATACATACATACATACATACATACATACATACATACATACATACATACATACATACATACATACATACAAAAATATTATTATTTTTCTCTAAACCATTAAAAAAATTATTCAATATGAAAACATTTCGATTGTTAATGATGAAAGAAACCTTTGGAGTATAATGGTAATTGCATTAATCGCGTACATATTAAAAAAAATTCATTTGACTACACATTAATATTTACTCACCCAATGACTGTTCTCAATGTTTTAAAAGCATAAAAAAGTATACTATAAAAAGTTTGTTGCTCCTTTTTCGAATCTCTATAAAAAAATTCCAAAAAAAAAAGGATTATAAACATAAATTGCAGAAATTAGATCTACACATTCGAAACCATATGCATGTCTAGAATGAATTAATTATTTAAATCTAAACACTTAAAAAATGAAATTCAAAGGGAACTGTTAGAGATCTAACATGTTCCTCTTTACATCTCGAAAAATTAAACATCGTGTAACTTTAAAAAAACACTAATATTTTAATATAAAAAAGAAATCAAAATTTCAAAATAAATCAAATGAAATCAAGAAAAAATCTACATCTCTAAGCAATATTTCAAAGACTGCGTAGGCTTTTTGATCTGTAGATTGATAACACAAAACTAAGATTTACAATCTATAGTATATAGAAGACAAATTTAAAAAAGGAAACGAGATGAAGATGAAAAAAACCAGACTTGATGGAAAGAAGAGATAGAGAAAGAGGAATGACGGAACAGAAATCTCTGGAATTTTATTCTGTTTTTTCTAAAACAGAATAAAATTTTAATTTTCAATTAAATAAAAAATTTTGTTAAATATGGCAGATATATTTCTTATTCTATTTAGAATATTTTGTTTCCTTATTGACCTAGACTATACCTCTTCCCGCGTATGTATAAATACCCCGTATATGATGAATAAATGACAGAGTTCACAACACGTTATCAGCACGAGACTCAAACCCTAATTTTTTTCCGCCTCTCTCGTTCCTTTTCACGGCTCTCCCCTGTGCATCGTTGAAGTCTCGCCGCCTCTGCCCAAACTTCATCTTCTTCGACCAGAAAAGGAACAGAGCAAAGCTTCCGGATCTTCTTCTCCAATTCTCTATCCCAAAATCCAGGTATTCCTCCAATTGATCTGAAGAATGACAATATATTCTGTTTGATCTAGATTATGATTTGTTTGGGATTGAAAAGTGTTATGTGGATTTCTTTACTTGACCCTTTTAAGGGAAAGAATTTAATTTCAATCATCTTATAAATAGATTTGTAAATACATATATTGAAAAATCATTAGCAGATTTCTAAACCAGATTTACGGTTAACATGATTGGATTTGTTCTAAATTTTTTTTTAAATAAAATAAATAAAAAAAAAACAGAGATGGGATTAGCAAAGACAAGTTATGGACAGGACCATATGTTCATTCCAGATCTGTTTTTTTGTTGTTGTTTTTGTTGGGCTTGGAAATTTTTTTTAGTTACATGCTGCGTAAAAAAAAAGAGAGGGTTACAATCATGGATTATCCTATCATGAAATTGTACATAGTTATCCTAATATGCTTCTATTATGCAATTCTCTATTATGCAGTTTTTGCTTCTATCCACATATGGATTAAAATAGTCTTTGTTTCTATTCTGCAATTTTGACC